ATAATATACACAGTACACACACATATTACGTAAACAAAATCTTTTATTTTGGATGCGATTAATCATTTGACAGCACTAATTAAAAGTCCTTTGAAATTTCACTTGATTGTGTAGTATATAAAAAAAAATTTCAAATTAGGATTAACTACACAGCGTGGGATTTTGTTACTAGCATGTCCAGTTTTCCTGTTTATGTGCTCAATGCTGTAACAAATCAAGCACAACTAGCTTTTGAAGAACGTAAGTGGTCAGTGCAGCTAAAACCATGGAAACAGAAGCAGAATCTAGAAATAAATGTGAATGTTTAGGGTTGTTGTTGCTGCATGTTTCTGTGGCTAGATGATTGAATGAACAGACCAACAGGATTCACAGTAGATTCTTCCTGACCTATTAATGTGCAAATCAACTTAACTGTTCCATGCTGGAAGTTTAGATCATGCACAAAAAGGCAGGTAGCCATATTGTCCTCCTAAGCGCTACTAAAGTACTTTTACCCTAGGAGACCCACATATTACAGTTCAGCTAATCAATACTAGGGATTGGTGGATGGGGGAAGGGTTTACAGGGGCTTAGAACAGAGTCCACTAGCTTTTAGAAGATAAACACATGTGATGTGGTCAGCAGAGAGGTGATCGTGTCTTTGTGTATGTTTGTTTGTAGCTCTGCTTGCCCTGCGCACTGAAGCTGAATGGGAGGAGGTTAAGAAGACCGTCTCCTCACAGGTTCAGGACTCCAGCATCAACGAGGAGTTTTACAGGGTCAGTAAAGGCTGATTAACTACCACGTGTTTAGTAGAACTTGACTTTGACTCCAATGTTGCTTGTTTGAACCCTGTTGGTGCGATCCATAAACTGGAGAGTTATGGAGATCCACTGTGACCTTTGTGACCTTGAGCAAAGCACTTAATTGCAGGTTGCACCAGGGTGACCATCCATGTAGTAAATGTACTATAAATTAGTTTGGATGGAGGCATTTTTGGGAGCTGCTTACACAGAACATGTTTTTGCGTTCCACTGCGCAGATTTTTCTATGTAAACATGCACTTGACGGATATCTTTGACTCTTGCTGTAGCATCTTTTAGAGCATGTGCACATGAACACTGTGTCAAGTTAAATGAAGCTCAACTTGGAAAAAAAAAAACATCTCTTGAAACTTTTTCCCATTCCAGTGCCTTATGTGTTGCCCCAAAAAAGGCATTCTGTGTGAAAGATCCCTTAAGCCCAAAGTGTGTTTCAGCTTAGATGTGAATACTTACAGGGATGCAAACTTGTCACCTTTCAGCGAAATTCGCCGTTTTGAATTCAAAATGGGTCATTTGTGTGATTTCGTGTAGATCCGTCCTTTCTCATCTCAATTCTAATCTGTACCCGCTCGAACTCACCCACTATCAAACAGTCCTGCTTGTTTTTTATTTGTGTGTGTGTGGCTCTGGCTTCGCATGTTTACATAGTTGTACACATTTGCAGATCTTCCCATTATAACAAAATGAAAAGAAAGCATACACGATGTACTGTCGCAATATTGGAAATATTTCTGTTTCTGTTCTTTTTAAAACAAAATCGGTGAGGAGTAAGCTAATAACCTAATCTTTTATTATCCTCACAGCGCGTTATGCGTTATGCTATGAAATTATTGCGGGGCAAATGAATTGTAATTTAATAATAAAAGTAACCTAATAATTATAATAATAAGCCTAATAATAAAAACAAAACTACAGCAGCAACAAGTCTGTGTTGACTGAATATATTTAGCAGCTTCTACAGTTAAAGATAAAGATCCTGCTCTGGCATTACTTAATAGTCAATTTGTAATAAATCCAAAAGCAAGTCATGTACAAACAAACAAACAAAAACTAGGGAGTGGAAATGGCAAAGGAACTAATGAGTGATTCTCTGCTGCCATCTACTGGATATTAAAGGTAATTTCATGTCATTTTCATCAGTCTTTGTTTTCCACCAGGAGACAATTTTTTTCATGTCATCTTTATGAATGAAATGGGAATCTTTAAAGTGAATTTTACTGCACAACTATAGAGTTAAAAAAAATTATAAAGGGTGTAAAATATTATGTTTAAAAAAAGTTTAAATGCATATATAAATGCATATATAGTATGCATGTTATGTAAACTTTTCCATAACTATGATCATCAGAATATATTGTGTTAAACACTGAATCCCACAATGCATTGTGCCAGACAATCATTTCCAGTATGACAACTGTCAGTTCTTTATTGACTCATTATTCGATCGCAATTTATATGCATTTTACGCAAAATTAGATTACTATACAGAAGACGATAACTGCCCTAGTGAGGAATAAATATTTCATGCTAAGTATGCTACAAATACATTTACATATTTATGTACTTAATAAAAAATACCCTGCAATTGTACTTTTAGTATGCTAAACTGGTATACTTAAAGTCTGCTAAATTGGAATAACTAATTTTGTGCTTAATGCATTTTAATTGTGCGGAAATACTACTGAAGTCCAACTAAAAATGTATATACTTAAGTATATTTGATTCTGCAAAAGTTAAACTATTGCAAGTATACTCCAGGTACACTTTAAATATCTTGCATTTAAAGACTGATATTATTCAAAGATCATACAATCCTCAGTAAAAGTGACATTAAAACGGCTTAATATTGAGAAATGTGCATTGTGCACAAGTAGTACTCCATATAAAGTTAATGTAACTTTATAAAGTATGTATAAAGTCTTGAGCGATATGTCAGTAAATATGTTAATAGATTTGAACTATACTTAGTATGAAATAAATGTATTTTAAATATATTACTTTTTTACTAGGGTGGATGCCACTTGCTGAACTAAGCATGTGTGACAACAGTTTAGTGTACCGCTGCTTGATTATTGTTTATTGTTTGTATGTGTCCTATTTCACATACTGTTTTTAAAAATCAAAATTTAAAGTTGCTCCACGATTACATTTTTTTTTAAATCCTTAAAGCAAATGAAAAAAACTCTTTCAATTAATCCCCATAATTTGAATTTAAGTTATAGGGCCAGATTTACTAAACAGGGCAAATTAGCGTTAGAGAGCAATTCCATAAAAGAGCAGATGGGAGGGGAAAATTCTGTGTGTGATTTACTGACAATGCGCACATTAAAGAGCACAGACACAGCAAGATCATTTCCATAATGACCAGCGCAATCTACCAAGAGCAGAGCAAATTACAGCCTGCTCTAAGACATGCTTTTTTGGCTGTTAAATAATGGCGCAAATAGCAGTAATTTGACGAGTGCAAACTTTAATAAATCACGTTGCGTGATTCATTTTAATATTCTCCTCTCATAAATTGTGTCTGAAAGGGAAACTCCTACGAATGCATATTCAATAAGGTCAGGTGCAAAAATAACTGTCCACACCTTTTTAGCGCTAATTCTTCACTGCGCGTCTTTAGTAAATCCTGACAGTACTGTTTTAACGCCAAAAGGTTTGTGCTGGCACAAGCTGTTAGTAAATCTGAGTAAATCCTGACAGTACTGTTTTAACGCCAAAAGGTTTGTGCTGGCACAAGCTGTTAGTAAATCTGAGTAAATCCTGACAGTACTGTTTTAACGCCAAAAGGTTTGTGCTGGCACAAGCTGTTAGTAAATCTGGCCCATAGTTTGCTTTATA